GGCTCTTAGAGCCAGGAGAAGAAGCTGGGGAAGCAGATCACACCAGGACCTGTCACACCATATCTGCTATTACATAGGGGGCTTGTTATCCCCCTATGTGAAGTAACATATAAGAAAAATAAAAAAATGTAAATCCCTCCCCCCCCACCTGCACGCACATACACACTTAAACACATGTTGGTGCGCCTACATGCAAAAACGACAATTGCGCTTCACACATATCAGAGTGAGAGAAATAATTCTAGAGCCATTAACCATTGTTAGCACTAAAGTGATGAGCGGTACAAGCATTTAAAGTGTTCCCTATGGAACATTTTGGGTATTTAAGTTTTTGCGGCTTCACGGCCGAACGCAATTTTAAGGCTTGACATGTTTGGTATCTATTTACCCAACATGACCCCGTCTTTCATACTTTACCAAAAATTGGGTATTATATTCTGTTTCTGTGCACTAAATTTTAATTTAATTTTAGTTTATTTTATCCTAAAAATACTGGTTTGATAAACATTTGAGCAAATACCATGCAACATAAACAATTGCAACTAGCATTTTTGTATTCTACAGGGCCTCATATATAATTGTTTGGGCGTTTGAAGCTGTTTTCTAACCAAAAATGTATCATGTGTGTGCAGATAGTAAGAAATTGCTCCGGACAGCAAGTGGTTAAAGTAATTTTCTATCCAAAAATTCAGATTGTAAATCAGTTTTTTCTAAGGTAGCCTAATTTGGTGCTTTCTCTTTTTTATTTTGACATTTATAAACCTGCTTTCTCTTAAAATCATTTTAAATCTCATCAGTAAGAAAAAAAAAAAAAATTCAAAGCGCCAATGATGACCAACAGATGAAAATAAAGTGCAAGCGAGGATAACTAGGAGTTCTGCCCCACTTCAGCCTGGGAAGCTGCAACACTATGGGAGAAAAGAAGAGAGAAGGGCGCCCACCCTAGTGTAGATGGTTTTTAATAATGTGAGCTAAAGTACAAGGTAAAAACATACTCACAATGAGAATCAGTAAAATCATATGAAATGAGCCAGAACGATATCTGAATATCAGCATTTTAAATCTAATTTATATTTCTTTGGTTGGTTTATGTGACCTCTTTGTCTGCATTATTTGTTTTATCTTGCATTGAGCTGAAACCCCTTGGTAGCCATCCATCCCTTAAAAAGATATTGATTTCTCTTCAAGTTTTTCAATCTCACATCAAGCTGTAACTGTTTCCTTCTTCTACTTTTTACTAAAAGGGTTAACATCTACCTTCCACAGAAATTCAAAACAACCCATCATTCTTTAATGTACTCTATATTAGTAAGACCATTGTTAGGTGCTACCTTCTACCTTAAACTACTATACTGTATATCTTTCTAGAGTAACAATATTCCACCAATTATTTAATTTCTTTTCCTAACAAAACCTAGGTACTTAAATACTATTCTACTGTATGTCTTCTGCATGACAGCTTAAGGTGATAGTAGTTATACTAATGTAATACTTGGACATTAGAAGAAGAAGGCCTGAAAGCTGGTCTTGAAAATGTAATTGTTAGTGGAAATAAAAAAAATGTTTCATGGACAGTATACAACTGTGTTTTGGATGACGTGTCATTCTGAGTTGAAAAAACCTTCCTCTATATTATCACTTATGTTTTCCAAAAATCAAAAACATCCATTATGAGACAGCTAGAAATGTTAAATGTGCAAATTAAATTATATAATGAAATATACATTGCGCTAAGTATGTGTTGAAACAAAATGACTAAAATATAACAATACAACAAGTGAGCTGCTGTTTGGAAATTATCGCAATCTTAATTTAAAAAACACAATATACAAATTAAACACTTGCTAACTGACTCTTGTACTATATGCAAACATTAATATATACAATTTAAATAATCACAAGTATTGTACTACAGTAAGTCCCAAATCCAAAAATGTGAAATTCAGAACGTAATAACCAATAATTCAAAGCTATAAATCTTCTTGTGTCTTTTCAATACTTTTTGTGTGTTCACCCAATGAAATAATGATCCTCCACCTGACAGTAAACAAAACAAATCAGAATGGCTGGCCCCTATCGACAAGAAAGGGGATCAGCTGTTTCTGGGATTCACCAACTTCTACTCTACGTTTCTACAGAAAGTCTTGGCCATAGTTGTCCCACTAACACAACTTACCAGCCTTTACACCTCCTTCTCATGGCTGCCTAAAGCCCGTTTTGCCTTTGATTGCCAATTGTGAAGCATCTGGATCCATTGCTGCCTTTCTTTCTGGTGGTGGATGCTTCAGAAACAGCAGTAGGGCCAGTTCTATTGCAACACACAAGCCCCAAAGCACATTTGCACTGTTGCCTTCTTCTCACAAAAGATGAGCAATGTTGGCAATAAAAGCAGCGCTACCGGAAGAGGGAGTCCATCCCATTCTCATTTTCACTGATCACAAGAATCTAGAGTACCTGTGAATGGCTATTCATTTTAGACCACACCAGGCCAGATGGGCTCTAGATTTGATTTTCATCTGACCTAAAAGCCCAGCTCCAATAATGTCACGCTCAATGCTTTATCCAGGATGTTTCCTGATAATCCTGCTACTTCCTCATCTGACACCATTCTTTCTGAAAAGAACTTCCTGATTATTGAGTCCAACCGCATGGCTCAGATTAAGGAAGTTTTAAAGGTATACTTAATTGATCCTGAACTAGACATCCATTGGTTTATTTTACTTGTTGATGCGTAAATATGAGACTTATGTTCTTGAGGATCTCTGGGTTGCTTTTCTGAAATCCTGCCATTATCTCCTGCTTGTTGGGCACTTTGGAGTTTCCAAGATGCAGGATCTAGTGCAGCCAACCCCTGGTGGCCGTTTCGTGCCAAGGACTGCAAGTTGTTTGTCTAGTCCTTCTTCACATGTGCCCATTCCAAGAGCAGCAGTGCCGAGCCCTACTGAACCCAACCCGCCCCTGGAGTATATTTTTAACAAATTTAATTGTGGACCTTTTACCATTAAGGGGATTTAATTATTTTCTGGTGGTTGTCAATAGACCTACATTTATGGTGCACTTTGTTACGATGAATGGTATTCCTTATGCAGGAGCCACTGTAGAAGCCTTCATTAGAAAACCCATTCGGTTCCATGACAGAAGGGTTCAGTTCACCTCGACGTTTTGGCACTAACTCTATAGGAAGTTGCAGATCTACTCGTTCTTATATACAGGTTACCATCCTCAGACCATCTGTTAGACCATAAAAAACAACTTTGCTTTAGCTTCCCAGAACAATTGGGCCTCTCTGCTCCCCATTGCTTATAACAATGCCCTGTACTCTTCCACCTTCTTTGCGAATAATGCGTTTCATCTTGCGTCTCCCCCAAGTTGTCCTCCTGAATCTTCAGTTCCTGAAGTGTAAGACAGGTTTCTTTTCTAGCTTCCAAATTGAAGAATTCCATTCTTTGCCGTCCCAAACCCAATCCAAAGCTAAACAAGAGGCTAACAAAAATAGAGTGACTGTCTTTCCTTTAAACCCAGTGATTTTATATGGCTTTCTGCCACCAACCTAAAATTATGGTGGCCCTCTTAAGAAGCTGGATGCTAGGTTCATTGGCCCATGCCCTATTCAAAGCATCATTAATCCTTTGGCTTTCAAAATCAAATTCAGACTCTCTTAGGGTCCAATCCGGTGCTCATGTGTCATACCTAAAGCCAGTATCTCTGAACCAGTTTCCTGGAAGGTCATGTCCACCTCCTACTTTCATCTTGGTGAATGGCAATGAGAAAATTTGAGGTGGATATGGTTGTGGCTGAACCACTGGGTACCTTCTGTTCCTTATCAAATGGAATAGCAAAAGAAAAGGTTTGGCACGAAGGAAAGGCCTTTCATCATTTTCACCCTGAGAAACACGTCCCTAGGGATATCTGGAGGTTGCCCTTAAGAGGGGTCAATGTTACAGTACTTTGAGGGTCTGCCTCTGTACATCCATGTTATCCTGTAAGTGTGCAATGCATTGCACGTGTGCCAGATCATGGCCTTTTATCTAGGGCCAGATGTGCATGTAAGAATGTTTATGGTGCACCGAGGTATGTGCCTGTTGACACGTGTGCAATAATATGCATTACGCAGGACATATACAGGGCCAAGAAGGATATTTGTACTCTCTCCCTTATATGGTGACTAATGCTGTGACTTTTTGCCAGCTACCTGAGATTGCTGATTTCTGCTTTGCCTGTTACTGACTTTGCCTTTGTCTCCTGTCTCATTGCCGATTCAGCTTGATCCTGGTTACTCTTTCTGGCTGCCCAACATGACCTCTGCCTGGTCACTGCCTACTCTTACCTGCTGTCTGCATCGACCCCTGTCTGGACACTGCCTGTCTCAACCTCTGCCTGAACACTGACCTTTCGTATTGCTGTTATCCTGTCTCTACATTGTAGCCACCCTATTCCTGCTATCTCTTGGAGGGGCTGTCCTGCAGGCCACAACCTGGTGGCATCTTGCAACAAAGCAGCCCAGTGGCCATTAGGGTTATTAGCCCATCACTCCTTGCAGGGTGCTCTGGTAAAGACTAAGGTGCCACTCAGAATTTGCATGTCGGGTGAACCTACATCACCTGCCGGAGGATTGAAGCTGTAATACCACCCTTAGATATAAATTTGCAGTCTTATGAAATGTGATTTAAAGGTGAACTTTAGTTTGTCAATAAATTATTGTCCATATTGTTACTGAAATTTTTTTTGAAACATTTTCCTCATAACACTCACTATTTAAAACTGTATGTATGCATGTATGTATTGCCAGTGCCTGGATAATCCTTTATGTCTAATATGTTTAAACAGATACATTTCAGAGGCTGCATTTTATGCTTTTAGCAGTGTTAAGTAAACATTGTTTTTTGAGGCAAATACTGACAACGTTATTTATCTTCTTGCAGTTATCTATGTGTTAATTGGTTATCATAATATTATACATTCATTTTAGTTATGGAAGACTGCGCTCTGCTTTCTCCTAGGTATACTTTTTATGGTTCCACGCTAAAGATGTCATACAGTCCTTTAAAACTCTTGAAAGGTAATGATCACTTGGTTTTAATTATTTGTAAAAGAAAACTATAATTGTTTTTCAGTCAGTATTTTGATCCTTGATATCTATGATTGAAACTGTCTAAGAGAGCTGTCTAAAATTAGGGAGGGGGAGAGAGGTCATTGCTCTGATGCAATTATCTATGTGAAATTTTCAGCTAGAGCTATTGAGCTCCACTTAGGGCCGGACTGGGACTAAAAATAGGCCTGGGCATTTTAGACTGAGCAGCCCAATCACGTGACCACCAACAGGCCCCACCCCTCACAATTTCTGAATTGAGAAAGCTGGTTGGATGGCCAGTGAAACGTCTTCAAGAAAAATACAGAAAGTCCAGTTGCCTTGACTTATTTTTTACAGATATACCATGTGACTTGGATGAATGAACCTTCACAGACATATTACTATAGAGAATCGGATCTCACTGGCCCTCCAACCCCTGCAAATCCCCCCTGGGACCCGGTTGATGATTTTTACAGATCCTGCACAGCCCCCCTGAGACCCTGCAGTCTCAGGGGGCTGTGCAGGATCGTGGTTGGCTCTGCCCACCATAGACCTTGCAGAGCTCACCACAGATCCTGCAAAGCCCCCTTGAGACCAAGCATAGCCCCCCACAGATCCTGCAGAGACTGTGCAGGATCTCAGGGGGGCTCTGCAGGATCTGTGGTGGGCTTTGCAGACTGCAGAGCCCCCTCAGATCCTGCAGAGCCCACCAAAGGGTATTGCACAGCACACCTGAGACTCTTTGGTGGGCTGTGCCGAATCTATGCTGGGCTCTGCCAGCACAGTCCTCTTACCTTGCACGGCCTGACCTTTTTGGAACGCGGCCTCCTTGTCATCTTCACTGCCCGACAGGAGCTTCGGCGACGCCTCCCGCCTCCTCTGTCAGGGTCTCTGCCTCTTCCGTGTCTCCGCCTCTTCCGTCTCGGGGGCACTCAACACATTTTTTTCTCTCATGGGGTCTGGTTGCCACATTTCATACTTTAAAATAAAATGTAACTATATCCAGTTTAAGTAGTACAGACACTCATACCTTGTTCTTGCAGTCTTCTCTTCCTTAGCAGGGGTGAGGGGTGGCGATTTGCATATGAATGAGCCGTTATATTTACATATGAATGGGTCACGGCTTATTGATATGCAAATTACCGCGGCCCATTCATATGTTAATATCTCGGCCGGTACCGGGACAGTGCAGGCTGCAGGAACAGCACCAGCAAGCTCCGGAAAGAGCAAAGAGTAGAGAGAGCTGGGTGAGGAGGTGTTTTTCTGGCCTCCCCCACCAGCGCCCTCTAGTGTCTATTGTGTGGTAGTGCCGGCTCTGCTCGCTACCAAACAGTAGACACTGCTCTGCACAGAGCCGGCCACAATCAGGTTGATTGTGTTCGGCCCAGCCAAACCGGGCACTTTAGTGCCCGGTTTGCCCTATGGCCAGTCCGGCCCTGGCTCCACTTGTTGGTTGAAAAAACAAAATACTTGTATTTATATTTGTATTGTATTTATATATTTGTATACTTGTATTTATATATACACATTTGGCATAAAATATTTATAAAACATAATTTTACACTGACCTTTCTGCAGCACTTGTGGTGGCTGCTGATAAGTTTAAGGTTTTTGTAGGTGGCAAAAATCTCTTGTAATAAAATTAGTTAGAGCTTTCACCCAACTTAGTATAATCATCAACAAAGCATATACAGTTCAGGGGTCAGGCATATAATGCACAACAGAGTGTATACAGTGTACAACATAGTGAGTGCAGTGCAAAGGTCAAGAGTGTATCAACAAAGCTACAACATAGCATTTACAGTGCATGGGTCAGGAATATAATGTACAACATAGCGTATATGGTGCGGGGGGTCAGCATTTTAGCATACAAACATATCAGGATAAACAACACAGGACTATGTAAGACACAGTACTATGTACAGAGTGCAGTGGTCAGTAATATTGTGTCCCCTGACCACTACTTTAGCCCCGCAGATGTCCCCCAGTGCTCCAGTGTGTGGTAGGTGTGGATAGAGTGGGTAAACAGTGTGGGTAAGCAGCTTATCATCTCTTTCCTTCTCACCAGCTCTTTTATTGCAGCTTCTTAGTGCTGCTTCAGCGATAAGACCAAGATACAGCTCCATCTGCTTAGGTGATTGCTTTTATCAGTCTTATTTTGCTTTTGAAAGGATTCTTTTTTGCAACAAACATAGACAGATATGACCCCCCTCAGCTCAACAGCTTGATCTAAATGGCCTTTGTTTAAAACAATATGCTTTTTCATGTTTAAATATTTTGCTGGCACTGTGATCCTTCACATCTACAGTATGTGGGAGCAGGAAAGGCATATCTCATCAGCAGTTCTACTAGACTGCAGTCTGTCCATGTTGAATACTCGGAAGCCCCTTTTAAAAATTGTTTGATATGGCTACAACTCGCTGTATACTGAGACCGCCGCAGCCGGGAAGGATCCCAAAATTACTGTGGAGATCCACCCAGCTACGTGATTGACAGCTGGCTCTGCCTATCTAGAGGCTGAGCCAGCTGTACCCGCCCCCTCCCGCGTTTGTTCCTCCAGTCAGCGCTGGAGGATCGGAGGGGGGTATCCCTGCAGGGAGCCGTGAGTGACAGTCACGGCTCTCTGCAGGGACAGGATCGAGAAGTGAGCGAGCGACAGTATGTGTTCTCTCACTTCCCGATCTATTGAGCCGACGTTTGACACTTTCATTGTCACACATCGGCTCGAACTATGAGGTTGAGTGAAAATCACTCACCTCATAGTTCTTCTTTAATAAACATTTTGTTTATTTGTGTATCACTCGGCTGTAGATCCTCAAATCATCTCTGAGTTCATGTTGACACTGTCCTTTCTTCTGGAGGGTGGCTACTTTTGTTTCCCATGGCCCCTGTGTGTGTTGTAAAGTAGCCACCAGTCCAAGCTTGCTCACGTGATGGACTACAATCTTAATACAAATTAGTAAACTAAACATGAGATTGTAGTCCATCACAGGAGCGAGCTTGGATTGGTGGCTACTTTATAACACATGCTGGCACCATAGGGAACAAAAGTAGACACTCTACAGAAGGAAGGACAGTGTCAGCACCAATTCAGAGATGATTTGAGGATCTACAGCTGAGTGATACACAAATAAGGTACATTAATGTTAATAGTTAGGGTACTTGAATGTATTTTTAAAATTTAACTCCTGAGTTTAGTGTCAATTTAACTTCGGCAGATCTTGGTGCCACAGACTCAGGTAGTTATCTACGTATGGCTAGGCATAGGGTCTATCTAGGGTCTATACACTATCATATTCCTGTTACCAAAAAATTAAATGTTACAAAGACCTATCAGTGTTTTACACAGCATACATGCAAGAAAATACACATATTCATAAATGACTATGATGCCATACACAAGTATTCTTGTTTGGTTAGGATCCATAGCTGGTTCATATGTCTGTGAAGGTTCTCATTCATCCAGGTCATGGTATATCTGTAAAAAACAGTCAAGTACGCATCCTAGACACCGAAGAGGCCATTTATGTGAAAATGGAGAAGCCAAGCTTGAATAGAGAAGGGGTTAACACCTCTCTGGGCAGGTTAATAACACCTCCTAGACTCCAATTATGCAAATGCAATCAACACCTGGTTGTGACTAACAGATTATGTGGATTGGAGCGACATTCACCATATTTATTCCCACATAATTTTTGTATGAGTCATTTAGAATTGAGAAAACTGGTCGGGTGTCCAGTGAAACGTCTTCAAGAAAAATACAGCAAGTTGCCTTGACTTATTTTGTACAGACATAGCTGGTTCAGTAAAAAAATATATTTTCTATAATCATCTGTGACTCATTCATTGCAAAGACGTGGACACGAATTGTAGCAACTATTATTAACACAAAGGATTTTATTATCATTACTTTTCGGACAATTTAACACAGGCAGATTAAATAATAATCCTAAAAACTGGTTTGGTAACAATATTATTCCACAAACAAAGCCTAGAACATACATAGTAGATAAGGGTTTTTGAAGTAAATCGTGTGCTGTTTAAGACACACAGTACTGTAAGGGGTGATTTGCAAAGGGTAAGCACACCAAATTTGAGTACAGAAATTGCCCTTAGCAACCAGATAAGTTATTTTAAAAGAAGCAAATACATTGTGGTAGCAGCTTCCTTTAGAAACAGTTTTCTTTTTAACTTACCAGAATGGAGGATGGAGGGTCCCAGGAGATTCATCCATTGCAGTTCCCAAGAGATATAAAAAGCCAGAAGGTCATCACCTGTAACTAATATTTCACTTTTGGGTGGACTGCTGAATGGTCCTCTTATTTCGTGACAGCCAAACCTTCTTGACAGCCAAACCTTCAATCTGGCTACTTTCTATAGATTGCCTGTGCATTTGAGCCCCTATGTTGTAGCACAGTAGCAAGTCTGGTCTTGGCTATGTACAATTTGTCCCCAAGGCAATTGAGCCTTTTTTTTTCCATTTTAAATTGTTTTTGTTCTTCTGTTAGTGTAGTTTAAACCTCAATGTTATAAGATCTGTTTTGTTAACGAGCACAAAAGTAAAGTTTGGTTATAGAAACATATTTTAAGCGTGTTTCAGCAGCCTCTGGATACCTCTGCGCTGCTTCCCTGCATTTACGCATTCAGCACCTCATTGTTCTATGTTTCCTGTTACCATCGCACATGTGTGCCCTGTCATTCACAAATCCTATTGGTCCGCCTGTGTAGCCCCATTGCTCATGCGTGTCCAGCCGTTCACACATGTTATTGGTCTTCCTGTGCTAGCCCCATTAGTCCCATTGCGCATGTGTGCCCTGCCATTCAAAATATCATTGTTCTGCCTGATCTGGCTGCATTGTGCAAGTGTGCCCTACCCCTGATAAACTTTTGGGCTGCTTCTGCTAGCATCATTGTACATGCATGTTCTGCAGTATAATTCTGTGGTAAAATGTGCATGAAATGTGCATGAAAGGGTGGCTCTATAGGACCCTCCATAGTAATGAAGCCACTCAAAATGTGGAAGGTTGGGGCTTCAAACTTAAACCCGCACTTAGGGTAAAAGTGGAAGAAGGGAAACCTTGGGAAGAAGATCAAGCAGCAGACAATGTAAGTGCTGTGGACAACTATTTTGTATTTTAATTTTAGGGTTAGTAACAGTTTAAGGTGGTTCCTAATATGTCAGCAATAAACAGACACAGAATAAAAAATATAGTACTAATAAGTATGTATAAATACAATTTTCTTTATTGGTCAGGGAAGAAAAGCACAGACTTTACTGATTATTTGGTTTTGGGTTTGTAAGTTGTCTTTGTTGGTTATTCTTCTTTTAGGTTTGGTTTGATCCATGCTGTGTTTACGAACCTTCTTCTCTGGGCTAATGGCATACTAACAGAATCAAAGCACCAACTGAATGAGCACAAGGAAAGGCTCATTACTCTTGGCTTTTCCAACATTACAATGGGTAAGAATAGCACTTATTAAAATCATCACCTGTACAGAAAAATATTTAGTGCTGAATCAGTAGGCATAATGTAGCTGCTGCTTATTCCATTTAAAAGGTAGTTTTGGTATGACTTAGATTCTCCTAGGTAGGTTTCCACTAAAGACATGGCCCTCTGGGAGGCAGCCCTGGGGCAACTCAGAGAACATTGAAAGGATTCTGTCAGTCAAATAGTCTGAAAATGACTTGAAGTTCACCAGGAAGGGATTGAGTCCATCCAGTAGAGACCCATTCACACTGAGCGACATGAAAATCGCGCGATTTTGAGCGATATTGCGCGACGAGCGATATTGAGCGACTTTTTCCTATTGGGCTGTATGCAATCAGGAGCAATATCGCTTGAAATCGCTCGAAAAAAGGGTCATGTAGGAGCAACAAGTCTTTACTGATTATTTGGTTTTGGGTTTGTAAGTTGTCTTTGTTGGTTATTCTTCTTTTAGGTTTGGTTTGATCCATGCTGTGTTTACGAACCTTCTTCTCTGGGCTAATGGCATACTAACAGAATCAAAGCACCAACTGAATGAGCACAAGGAAAGGCTCATTACTCTTGGCTTTTCCAACATTACAATGGGTAAGAATAGCACTTATTAAAATCATCACCTGTACAGAAAAATATTTAGTGCTGAATCAGTAGGCATAATGTAGCTGCTGCTTATTCCATTTAAAAGGTAGTTTTGGTATGACTTAGATTCTCCTAGGTAGGTTTCCACTAAAGACATGGCCCTCTGGGAGGCAGCCCTGGGGCAACTCAGAGAACATTGAAAGGATTCTGTCAGTCAAATAGTCTGAAAATGACTTGAAGTTCACCAGGAAGGGATTGAGTCCATCCAGTAGAGACCCATTCACACTGAGCGACATGAAAATCGCGCGATTTTGAGCGATATTGCGCGACGAGCGATATTGAGCGACTTTTTCCTATTGGGCTGTATGCAATCAGGAGCAATATCGCTTGAAATCGCTCGAAAAAAGGGTCATGTAGGAGCAACAAGCTACCAGCGACGAGCTACAAGCAATATTGAGCGATATTGAGTGACGAGATGTGAACAGCTCCATTGAAATGGATTGGAGAAGCTACATAGAGCGATATCGCTGCAAAAATCGCTCGATAAATCGCTCAGTGTGAATGGGGCCTAAAGGGAAGCCTAAGTTTGATAGCAGGCCTTGCATCCCAACACACTTGAATGATCAGAAATGTAATCGTATGCTACAAACTCAGCTATTTTTATCAATGTTTTGATAAAAATGTTGATCCAAAATGTTTTGAAGAATTAAATCACCTAACAGTTTCTTATGTTTCGTAGGGAGTTTGAAGCTCTGCAGACGCCTACCCATTGCTATAGGTGTCTACTCTCCCTGTTGGATTTTTTTAATTCTGGAAAATGCAACAGGAGGGGTGGAAACACCCAGTAGACATGATACTCCAAGATAGGAGAGATCTATGGTAAAAACTTCTTGATGCCAGTGCAGGGTCACCAGTGTGTATAAGAAACAACTAACAGGGTTAGTCACAAAAGGCTGAAGAGTTTGGAGAAGGCAGTAGAAGTGAGCAATCTAGGCAAAAATAGCTGATTTGGAAAAATTCTCCAATTCAGCTCACTTTCCAGTTTTGCTACGTTGTCCTAGATTGTTCAAGTCCCCTGTCTTCTCCAACCTCTTCACCCTTTTGTGAATAATCCTGTAAGTGATTCAATTCACCATCTCAACCTTTAAGAAACGCATCATTTTTGAGAGAACCTTTACAAATTAATTCCAAATCTTGTTTGGGCACATATACCCTTCTGTGGGTTCCATTTCCTTTTCTTGGAAATCACAGTAACATTGAAACATTCAAGAAGGTGCCATTGACGTCTGTAATAATTGCAACAAGCATTAACACAATGACTAGGTCACAGCATTCTATACTTTTTTTTCCAGCACCTTATTGAAGGGGACCTGGGTTGAGGGAAAATCTAGGCTGCCATTGCTCACCTTTCCTTCTAAAAAGCTAAGTGCCTGACATCCATGCTGAGCCAATGGTTTCAGTACTTTTTACAGACCTGATCAAAGAATGTACCTTGCTTTGTGCAAATATGAACAATCTGGGTATTTATTGCAGAGGTCAAAGATGCTTTGTTGCTGATTTATTTATACTACACAAAATTTTGCTTCATGCTAGGAATTAGCCATTTCCCATTCACATGAAACAACAGGACAGAAGTCTCATCCTGTCTATACTCTGATATACTTTTATATCCATTTGCCTTATGTATCAACATGTCTCAGCATGGCTAACTTGATAATTCTGTCCTGAAATTTTGGAAGTTACTTGGTTGCCATAAAATAGCCTTTCTTGATAAGTACATGTTGATGAATATAAACAGCAAAATCACTTTTGGGGCTTAGATTACATTTTTTTTTTGATTTACAGATCACCATACACCAGAATGCAACTGCACATCAAACGTGTGTTCCATATTTTCACAAGGAATATACTACTTATATCCATTCACTATTGAGTATCATATATTAGCCTCTACAATGTTGTATGTCCTATGGAAGAATATTGGGCGCCATGTAAAACACCAACAGCAGCAGAAGATTCACTTCAAGTTCCATGGTATAACAGCCGGCACCATACTGGGGCTGATTGTCCTTACAACTACCATCGCTGTCCTGGTTGTGTATCTCATCCAGATTGGACGTTCAAAGAGCAAAAGTGAACTGGCCCTAACCATGTTTTATTTATTTGCCATTACAGTATTGACACTCATGTGTACATCTGGGATTATTGGACTTATCATATACAGACTGGAGAATAAGTCATTAGATAACACTGAAAGCCCAGCCAAGAAGTTGGACTCAGATCTTCTGGTTGGTTCAGCTTGTGGGTCTTGGTTAATCTCATGGGGATCTATCTTGGCTATTATTTGTGCAGAGACCCGCCCTGAATACTCATGGTACAACTTACCTTATTCCATCCTGGTAATTATTGAAAAATACATACAGAACCTTTTCATCATTGAGTGTATACACAGGAAAGAAGAAGAACCGATAGATGGTCGAACTCTTGAAAAAATATTTTCCATGTCCAGCAGAAGTACTTTGTCCCTGACACCTTCATATGAAGTTTTCAATGAGTCAGTCACTATCTGTAGCAAGGAATTTCCTTACATGTCCAATTCCGAACTGTCTTTAGGAGAAGCCTCAGCAGAGGACAAAAAGAGTCAAGAAAACAATAATTCCATTAGACTTTCTCCATCAGCTATTGCTTTACAGGCAGCAAGATCAGAGAAACTTAACAAAAAAAGAAGAGTCCTTAAGAATATTGCAGCATTTCTCTTCCTTTGTAATATTTCGGTAAGATAGTTTTATATATTATTACTTAACTTGTTTGCAGCACATGCTGCGTACATATACATTATGCCTTCTTACATACGCTATATATAGGGACTCAATGGGGGAAGGAGGGTCATTAGAAAACAATCTGAGAGTTAAGAAACAATCTTAATGAGATTTCTTTTGTCCACAAGACATTCAGTTGTCCAGTGAGATCAAAGGTCTATGAGCACTGCAGAGCCTGTGGCCTCTCTACTGAGGCATAGGATATCAGCACTAGATTTAGCCCCATGAAAAGCCTTCAAAGAGTGTGTATTGAGGTCTGTGTTAGTATTAAAATGTGATGAATAAGCTTTGTTTTAGTCCATTTTTTAGGCCAAGATCACACATGCCAATTTGTGGCAGCTGCAGAATTATTATTATTATTATTACGATTATTATTATTATACAGGATTTACTGTATATAGTGCCAACAGATTGTGCAGCATGCAACTCTCCTTAGCTTTTTAGTTGCTAAAAAAATAAAAATAAAATTGCATTCAATTAAATTTCCAAGCATATTGTAGCTCAATCGCAGAGCAATTGGCTTTTTTTTTACATGCTATTTATTTTTATTGAATAACAAAATGTCATGAAGTGGAAAAGAGCTTGCACTCGTAGGAATCGTCGCAATGGCGTGTGTCCATTGAAAAATTGTTAGGCCTTTTCAATAGAGAAACACCATTAAGAAGACTTCTACGAGTGCCAGCTCCCCTCTCTGTTCAAAAGTTTTTATTGCAATTGACTTTTTTGTATTATTTGGAGATAACTACACACTCACCAGTTTCAGTAACTGCTTATTGTTATCCAATGCAGCCACTAATGTTCCTGGCACACCAGCAATTTGCAAATGTGTAAATCATCATTTTAGTCAGGTATAGCAGTAAATGTGTGGCCAGCTACAAATTGCCTGAAAAAACAAGCAGATACATTTTCGAGCTGCTACAAATGTATGCAACTTTGTTAATGTGATCCAGCGCTTAGGGATCATGCACATGGGCACAAATACAGGCGTATTGGCATGTGTATCTGTACGCCTGCATTTGCAGTGCCGAGGATACCCAGCTGCTGTGTTTTTCTGCTCATGAGACAGTATGAACAGAAAACACTGTACTCGAGTTACGCGTATAATTGCTGGTAACAGACTTTACACTCACGTAGGTCTCCTGAATTCATGAATGTGGACGTTTTCTGCCCATACAGTCCTATAGACCAGGGGTAGTGAATCACAGTACATGGTGTGTGCCAACAGGGAGGAACAGAGTTAAACAGTGCCTATTTAGGTGACCCAGGGTCTATGGATTAAACTTATGCTTAAGTGGTTTGTGACTTGGTATCATTAAGGTTTCTCAGGATGTCTGGAGATATGGATTTTGGTTATTTCACAGGTTACACAGAAATTGTGGCATAAACCCTTTTGCTGCCATGGTTTGTCCATTTTAAACCTTAAATGGCCATACTACTTTAACAATTTTTCACCTGTGAACTTGAAAGTTTGAGATCAATCCTGCCAACCATATATTTCCTAAATGCACATAAACCTATAGAATTAAACCTTGGCACTGTTAGGTTTGTGCTTCCTTAGATATTTCCATATTTATTTAAAATAAAAATACACTAAAATTGTTATTCACACACACAAATGTGTCAGTTTGAACATTCCTACTATGTACAATACCTACAACTGGATCAAGTTAATACATAAAAAAAAGTCTACATGTAAAATTGTGAATTAAAAATGAAAGGGTCACATGAAATGCGGTTACTACTTCATCTGTTGAGTGTCTTACTAAAATATTACCCATAAAATGATTACTGAGCTCTAATGTGTGTAAGGATGCCAAACATGTGTGGTCTAACAAGGGTCCTAGGTACATTATGTCTGTGTCTTGGTGCATACATGTTTGTTATGTGTTTTTATACGGTTTTTAATATTTTATTTTACTTATTTATTTTCTTTTTTCGGAATTACCTTCACAAGGGTGCTGAAAAGGGGTCCAATGTCTTCCTATGTGCTGCAGACAGGTATCAAGGATACAGGATCCCCAGATCTCTTTTCCACAGGCATCCAGCACCTTACTGAGTGTGAACCCAGAATTATTCCAGACTGAGCACTTCCATGTTCATTTATGGCCAAAAAAAGATTGGAGATCATAGTTATGTTCACTGATCTTCCCACTCGCCACCCAGAATGTAATTGTAAAAAACAGGTAATACAGTGCAGCAATATAAGGAAAGGTTGTGCTGGCACTGGAGGCCAATATTCAAGTGGGAGGATGGACGTTTTGTAAGTTTGTAGTGATTAGGTGCCACCTGGACCCCTTCCACAGAAAGCTGGTGTACTTTTCCTTTGACATTGTTTAAACCCTTTGAAATCCATGATGTTGGGTACAGCTATAATGTACTTTAATACACACAAAGGGAAAGTAGGGCAATGTCAAAGTACTGTCATGGGGGACATGTAACAATTCCACAAATATTTTTTAAATACTGTACAGCGGGGAGAGAATCATTTATTTATGTGGTCTAGATATTGAAAATACATAAATCCTTTAAATAACATGCTAGGGGGGTACGTTAATGCTGTGTTACTGAAAATAACAATTTATTTTCTTTTACAACTAGCATGGCTTGCATACAGCAGCAGCTCCCCAATATGATTCATTGACCAATAGTTCACTAGGGCTGTCCCTGTTCTCACTGCCCTGCCTCAGGCCAATTTTTATTAAAATATAGCAGTGTAAAATTGGCCAGCAGCATGACAATTTTAATGAGGTAGAGTTACCAGGAGCTGGGCAGGACACCAGTCAGAACGTCCTACTCAGCACTTGGCAACTAGTTATGTCAGTGAACTGGGCGGGGTGCTGTCCAGAGTTTCCTAGGTTGCCAGAAAGGCCAGAGCCTCCCGTGACCCATTGAGATGCTGCCTCATTATAGGGACATCCCTGAGCACAGGTTGTGGTTTTACAGAAATCATCTGAGCCTGCTGGCCTCACTTTAAAGGTCATTCAGTGCATTATGGTTTTAAAAATTTCTCCTGGGCGAATATGCACATACATTTTCTAGGCCCAAAAATCTTAAACCCACAGGATTCGCCACAAACCCATGCTAGCAGTGAACCCAAATATCATCCTCAACTGCACTGAATGCTCATCTCTTGAGGCTTAAAGTATCTCCATGTGTCAATAAAATTGAATACAGTACCATTACAGAAAACAGCTTGTGGGCCCTATGTCTTCCTTGAGTATATACAGAACATACGTTTTAGAAAAAACCTATAGTGAGAGAACCATGTGGGCTAACCTCATTCTAAACATTCCAGTTTTTTGGCTGTCTCCACAGCTGGTTAAGCCAGACATTTTGATCTGGATATACTTGTCAGTTATCAGAAATCATTGAAGACACTGGATCAACATGATAACAAGGCAACTGGCATTTTCAAAATGAGAATATTTCCCTCACCGGCATTAGATTCAGACATTGAGACAGAGGCAGACCAGTTAGAGGTAGAGCTAGTTAATTCATCTTTACTATGGCATATTCTACTTTTCTCCAAAGTATTATTATGACTAATATTATCAATAATAATAACAACTTTATTTGCAATGTAATACCAATTTTGGTAAAATTGTTACTTAAATAAAGGAAATAAAAGACTAAAGGGAAACATTTAAGTCTATATAAGATCACTTGGCTTGTAGCAGCCATTCTACATAGTAGCTCCAGGGATGGCAATTCACAATTATGTCACCCTAGAACTAGTGCACAGTTGAAGTGATGGAGAAGACCAGCGTTCATCAAAGCTTTGTTGCAGAGGTATTTCGATTTAGGATAGATTCCTTGTGGTATACTGATTACATTTAATGTTACAAGAGTCTACGTTCTACTTACTACAATTAATTAATTAGTTTTTGCCTTGTGTGTTATAGCTCTGGATCCCACCTGCCTTTGGTTGCCGTCCTCAGTATGACAATGGCTTGGAGGAAGTCGTGTTTGGTTTTGAACCTTGGATAACAGTAGTTAACCTTGCCATGCCCTTCTCTATCTTTTACCGAATGCATTCAGCCTCTTCATTATTTGAAGTATATTGTAAAACATAGGACATGCAGCACATGGAAAGGACAGCTTAACCAGTCACAGACCTTGTGATTCCTTGTGGGTGGTGCTCGTCTACGCTTGGGACTTTTTATGGGACTGATAATGACTTTCCTGGAAGCATAAAGCCACATGAAAATCAATTATTTTGCACAACATTTTTAAACCAGCATTGTGTTATATACAGTATAATGTGTAGATGATAGTGGTGCTCCTAAGATTTACTTCTTGTTTCTGTCTACTTGCTTTTATGGAGAAACAACAACAAGGGCATTCAAACTGGAGCGCACTGACATTAAAGTGCATTTGTCACACAATTGTAGGGAAATTTTATGGCACAGTCAAATAATTCAGAGATTACAACTTATAAATTAATTAGTATTAAGTGATTTTTCTTTATAATAAGTGCAAATTATTCTATATATTACCATTGCAGTGCTCCACAGACCAATCAAATGCCAACTGTTATATTTCAGGGCAGTTTTAAATATAGCTGGTGGTTTTGGAGCAACACTAACACTCCTGACTCACTCATTTAAAAGTGAACCAAGGTCCTCCTCATACCACAGTGATGTCCCTACTGATTTTTTCTTTTGAGTTAGAAGAAGTGTCTGCTGATCTTTATAAAAGTATATGAGAAACAAAAAATGTGCTGGTGTGACAAGTTCCTTGTCCCCCATTTCTAGATTAGCAACACACTGTATCAGAAAGCTTTTTGGCCCCCATCCTTTAAAACCCCATCCTGTACACTAGTGTCCCTGGAAATGCCCCAATACCCCTGTTTTCCAGTCAACTTTTCATTTAATAGTGTAAGGTCTCTGGGAATATCTGTATCTCCTATCCATGAATTAACAATAGCCCTGGAAAGTCAGTTGGCCCCCAATACCTAGCTTAGCAATAGGATGTCTCTGTAAATATCACTCTCCCACAACCCTTTGAAGGTATAACCTTTCTTGGACTACTGCTTCCTAAGAAAGAAAAGGTAGTGCAGTGCAATTATATAAAGAGTACAGCAAACTAATTCCCCAGAAATCTAAATTCTTAGCTGATTTGACTCCAATTTTCTAAATTTGATAAATTTGTTGTGGGCTTTCACCCTTTACACATCTGTATTGCATTTTTTATTATTTATTGACTAAAAGTGGCCACACACCTTACAACCATCGCAAGACTTTTGTCTTACGATGGTTGTAAGGTAATTTAAAAAACGTACGATCTGCCCATCTTAGACAGGCAGATCGTACTTGCGATCATCGCAAGCCCACCCCGCTGAGGGGCGGGCTTCCGATGACTGCAATGCTGAACGGGCAGTATGCGCTTGCGTGCCATTTGTCTTACGAGCAGGCCACAAACCCACCGACAATCGTATGATACTCGGCGGGTTTTCGAGCCTGCGTACAGTAGAAACGGTCGCTCGCCTTCCATAGATCGGCCGATTATCGTACAATCGCGGGATTTCCCGCGATTATCGTACTATAATCGGCAGGTGTATGGGCACCTTTAGTCTTAAAGTGTAACTATGGGCCAAATAAAAAAAATGACATATACTGTATGGTACAGTCTTTCTCTAGCATTACACAACAGCTTTTGTTCATTTCGGTCCTCCCTTTCATCAACTGTTGATCCTGCCAGTAGAGCCATAATTTTTTCATTTCCTGTAATAGGGTGACAATGCTGTTTGTTCTGCAGTGAAATCACACAGCAGAGTTGTTATCCTGTGGAAAAGGGTAGTCCTATATAGATCTGTGGTTTTAAGTGGAGTTTAAAGGGACATAGTGAAAAATTATTGGATTTGCTGGCAGTCTAAACAGGTAGGAAAACTTTGTTATTAAAGAAAACAAAATCTGCTGTGTTCATGCTTTTTACAGACTACAACATATATGTCAAATTTAATTATGCCCATAGTTACATTTTTTAATGACTAAAGCTAGATCTGCAGGAGATGCTATAGCATGTGCAGGCCAGTGATTTGGTGCCTTTAGTGACATCTATGTCAGTTGTTCCACCTAATGGCAGGCACATGTGTTTAAAAAACACCATATTTGCTCAGGGCATGCACCAGCTGACTAACAGCAGAAATAACTGGACACAAAATTGCATTCTAGAATTGAACAGTTCCTCACTACACCATCTATACACCACTTTTGCAGTACAGCCAATCTTCAATATGACAGTGATTAGTCACATCACAATGAGTAATGAACCAACCCTATCCCCTCCCACCAGCTCTCTTTATACCCAACATATCCAAGGAGAGAGATCTGGTGGCAATATTTAAGAATGTACTTTTGTATTAGTGATATATTGCATAATAACCAGAAATCCTGTTTCCTATACAGTTTATGTACAGATTCAATGAGTTTCAAGGTGTCTTATAGAGTTTTGATGGTGCCTCTTCTAATTCCTTCATATTTGCAATATTTTCAGGCCTTTGTTATAACCCTAACGCCTACAATAGTGCACCACAACCCCAATAAATATGATATATGTTATTTTCTTCTTAATCAGACCACAAGCTTTTATTTTGTGAAGATTATTAAAGCTCTGGGAGATAAATTGCAATGCTTTGGGAAGAGATACTGGGCTTGATTTACTAAAGGCAAATAGGCTTTACACAAAATAATTTTCCATATCTTAGTGAATGTGGGGACAATTAACTTTACAAAGAATACCCAATCACATGCAAAGAAGGTCGGTGCAAGGATTTTTGCCTACACAGGTGAAAGAGCACTGTGCTAGAACTCATGTGACAGCTGAGAGGAAGGGCTGCGAGTGCAGCTCTCCTCTCACTGTCGACTCGACCCGGTGGTGCAAGGTAGCCCATGGGGGGGG